GAACTCCACCTATAAACTGTAGCCTACACACACACACACACACACACACACACACACACACATACACACACACACACACACACACACGGGAGACAATAAAAAGAGGGACAGCCACAGTATACTATGGTATAGAGAAATCGGGGTTGGGGATTTAGCTCAGTGGTAGAGCGCTTGCCTAGTAAGTGCAAGGCCCTGGGTTCGATCCTCAGCTCCAAAAAAAAAAAAAAAAAAAAAAAAAAGAAATCAATTAAATTATGGAAAGTGGACTTTGATGTATTTGAATTTTTTATGAAAGTCCAAGATTTGACTCAGTGTTCTTAGTCATTATGTTTTGTTGGTCATCTTATGGCCTTATTTTCTTTATTGGATTATAATACAGTGAAGCTTCCATGTATATTTGTGAATACTGGAATTACTTCTTTTTCTTAAAGACTTCATTTTTATTTTTATTCATACATGTGTACATGTGTCTGTGTGGGTCTATACCGTGTGTGTGTCCACAAAAAGGCTCAAAGATGGCATCAGATCCCCTGGAACTGGGGTTACAGGCTAGTGTGAGCTATCAATCTAGGTGCCGGGAGCTGAATTCAGGTTCTTTGTAAGAATAGCAAATGCTCTGAAATGCTGAGCCCCTTTCTAGCCCCTGAATGTTATATTTTAAGATCTGTTTGCTTTCCATTTGGGCCTAGGGATTGATTCCAAGGACTTATCCATGCTAGGCAAGGATTCTACCATTGAACTGTATCCTCAGCCCTGACATGTTTCTTAGGACACAAGTTATAACATGGCTGTAAAAAATTTGGACAACCTAAAGATATTATTATTTTATATTTCTGAGATATTTCAGGAATTTACTTGGTATTCAAGCTGTTTCTTTTCTGTTTAAAAAAATAATTGTACTTGTACATAAATTCTGACATATAATGTAAATTATTGATTTATCATAAACATCTGATGTTGTGAAAACACATTTGTATAACATCACGTTTAATGGCTGTGTTTTGGATTTGGAAAGAAGTGATTTTGCCGGACTGTGTCTCAACCCAAATTTCATGACTAGCACGTTAGCGTCAAATGGGTTGTAGAGAAGTGAGAAGCGACGAGCAGACTGCAAGACCAAACACAAGGTGTGCACACCAATGGCTCCCTGTCCAATCTATTCTTTTTTCTTCAGAATCTCTGCATTGCTAACCTGGGTGAATGTCTTCCATCGGCAGCCAGCTTGTAATGGCTGCTCCTAGATGAGATCGAATGAGAATCATCATTGAAGTGCAGCAAGGTGGTATAAGGAAGGGGCTGAGAATTGTTGACCTCTGGTCCAGAGCCTTGGCCATTCCAGTGTGTCCTGCTTGCCTGCCTGCCTGCCTGTGCCTGAGGGGAGAAAATGGAACTGACATCTCTCCTGAGGCCTCCCTGGTCAAATGCAATCACGTTGACTGAAAGCTCCCATTGTGTTCAGTTCTCTAAACAACAATCCCCCTACCCAGAGAGTGCACTTTGGCCAGAGGAAGATGTGATGAAGAGTCATCTGTACCAGTGCTGACCAATTTCAACATCTCATTTAAAACTGCAAGGAGTGGAGGTAGGTTCTGAATTATGTATTAAACCTAGCTTCCAAATATAGCCTTGGCTGAGAATCTCAGCTAAATGTCCACGAAACATCAATCCTACAAATCACAGCTCTCACCCCCTTATTTGCTGTCCTGGTTGTCACTTCCTATAACTTTCCACTGTTGACGCTGGCATTCTAGTGCCCAATATCGAACCCTCAATATTAAACCACCTTCCACCTCCTTGCTCTTCATTCTGTGTCTTGAGTCATGAAAAGCACCAAGATCTCCCATTTAATGTCCTCAGAGTACGTGAGAATCTGTCTGCAATTTTGACGAGAGCACAAATTGTTACTCATTGTCCAGTGGGGAACACTTAGCTCTACCAGCCTTTCTCCAGTATCAAAGCCTCTATTATACTCTCGCTAATAATCGCTAATGGAAGCGGTGGTGCTCACGGCAATCTTCAGATTCATCAAGACCAGAGCTTGAAAGACTCCCCAGGGCCTGTGCTGCTGGTGCCAAGAGGAGGTCTTGGCGTCTGGATCTCTCCATTCACTCTATTCTTCCTTCCAGCAAAAGCTTCCCACTCTACCCCATCCCCACACCCCTTTCTTCCTTTCATTTCGACCATAGCTCATCATCAAAATGCAATTAATATCAAATAATAGTTAGTAGATGATCCTCCTCCCATGTATCCCCTCACACTCCAGCTCTGCTTCAGTCAGCTTTTCAGTCATTTAGAGGATCATTTCAACAACTGAAAATGTGGTCATGTTAGGGTTCCGGTGTAGTTTGTGGATAGGATACACATTATGCACGCTTGTTGGTCCTCCCCAGGTTTTTGCTTTTTGTAATCATTAACAATTAGTCTTTCAGTCTCAAGAACATTATGCATTAAGGGGTGAAGGATGTGGCCATATAGGTCATTTATGATCACCATCTAACCCTCCCATGTGTACTTTCACTAGCTGGCTCTTTATGTCAGAACCACAGTCTGCTTGCACAGGTACCATGCTCCCATCTACTTAGGACCATTATTTACGCTGTTCCCTGCCCTTTCTGGAGTGTCACTAAAACTCTTCTTCTTCATCTATTATTTACTCATTCTGCTTTGCTCTCCAGGAAACAAGTACAGGAACGCAGGAACTTGTATTTGTTCTGATCACTACAGTATACACGTGCTTATACTCATGCCCGACAAGTAATAGGTACTGAGTAAACTCTGGAAGGATAATGAATTCACTGCAGCATGATTCCCACAGCAAAGCCTTGCGTGCCTCTCTCGACTCCAGAATTTGTTTGCTTTCTTTATGAGACGTGGTTATCGCCCATGTACTTTGTACTAGAGCACACACCTCAGGCTGTGGTAGGACAATCATTAGTTAACCAGACTCTTTGAGGACAACAGTGCCACTACCACTTGGTATGTGCCAAGTTATCATGTCTACCTAAAGCTATGTACTGGATGAAGAGATGAATAAACACCATGGCAGTAACGCTACGTTAGGCATTTTAGTGATCTAAGGAAACTGGACTTGCTCATACTCTCCAGAACCTTATAATTACCTAAGGGGCAGGGGACCAAAACTTTCAAGTAGATATCGGTGCAAAGTGGTAGACAATTAACCCCCAGCATTTCAGAACAAGGGGCTCTACAAATTATGTTCGTCAGTCGTAACTTGACCTAGAAGTGTTGAGTGATTGTCACTTAATGATAGTGATGATCACGGGAGGTACCTAGACAACATGTACTTGTAGACGGCTGGAGCTGAAAAATCTGCCGTGGGCTGAGGAAAGGACTCCATAGGTAAAGTGTTTGCCTTGCAAGCACAGGGAGCTGCGTTCAACCTAGAACACACATGAAAAATCAGGGTAGGGTGCATGCTTGCAGTCACAGTGCAGAGGAGGAAGAGATGGACAGATCCCCGAGGATCACTGGCCACCCAGACTGTGAGCTAATTTCCAGGAGAGGTAGAGGCCATATCTCAAAAATAAAGGTACACAGGGCCTCAGGAATGACACCCAAAGTTATCCTTTGGCCTCAACATTCACACATACATGCTTGTATACCCTCATGCATGACCCCACATACACACACCCACAAAGAAAAAAGATCCTGTTGTATCCTTGAGTTCAAGGAAAGTGTATGGAAGAAGCTGGAACTGAGTTCGGAGAGGTTAAATTTTAGTCAAACATCAATTTTCTATTATTAATTGCAAGAATGCAGCCCTCCTTATCTATGCAGATTTGGAGCTGGTAAACCCCAGCCTTTGAACCAAGCTGGCCATGGTTTTTGTAAATAGAGTTTTATGAGCACAGGGCTTTCCCAGGGTGCTCACATCCTGTCCATGGCTGGTTGCTGTCACAGTGCAAGAGCAGAGCTGGGTGGTTATCGCAGAGATCATAAGGCCCATAAAGTCAAAAATATTTACTGTTTGGCCCTTTTCAGAAAGGATTTGTTAATCTCTGAGTTAAACTTTCAGGGTTGAGTGGGAGAAACTGCTGTAAAACTAAAAAAAAAAAATAATCGTATGAGCTATTGCTTGGAAAGGACATGCTGGAAGATTCATGGAGGAGCGCGCTTGAAGGTTCAGTCAGCCCTCTGTGACGATGGCCTCGGCATCTGTGGATGCAATCAACTGAGCAAAATATTGGGGGCTTGCTTTTGTGCTGAACACACACACACACACACACACACACATTTTTTCTTGTTGTTATTCCCTGAACAATTATTTCTATAACTTTAAGATTGTATTGGGTATTATAAATAACATAGGGATGATTGGGATGATTTGAAGTATATGGGAGGATTTATGCAGCTTGTGTGCAAAGTACTGAAGATTGTCCTATCTGCAAGGGGTCCTGGAACTCATTCCCATGGGTATGGAGGAACAGGTGTATTTAATTATGCATGAAAGGGACCTCCCCGAAATAAAGGATGTATGAGTGATTTTTTTGTTTCAAAACATTGATGTGTGTGTGTGTGTGTGTGTGTGTGTGTGTGTGTGTGTGTGTGTGTGTGTTTGATGGCTCATATGTGGAGGTCAGAGGGCAACTCCATGGAGTCAGTTCTCTCCTTTCACGGTGGAGTACTGAGGATTGAACTCAGGTCATCAGCCTTGGCAGCAAGTGCTCTTGCCAGCTGGGCTGCCTCACCAGCCTGTGAGCGATGTTTCTTGAGGAGTGTGAAGATCAGGAATTTGGTGACAAGGAAGGAGGGCAGGACTACACTTAGAACTGAGAGGAGGATGAAGAGGTGAGCACATTTTATTGGTGGAGAAATACATAGGATTTTTCTAGCCTGGGCTGAAGCTTCTCATTGGAAGTGAAGGGTGAAGGGTGAAGTCTACATCAAATGAAGCCTAGGAAAGAGTACAGAAAACCAGGAGTGTAGGGCTGAACCATCTAAAATTCTCCAGCTAGGCAATACGCATGTGGGATTTGAAAGCTCTTGTCCAGGGCAATGATAAGACAGAAGAGAACAGACTGGGGTCTCATGGGCTTGGGGTGAAGAGGATTGGGGAACCCTAGAGGTGGTCTATTGAAAAAGACAGACTAATTAGTGATAGGGAAAGCAAATTCAGCTCACAGATAGGCCTTAGTTTGCTCATAAAGTGCTTGAATATGAAAAAATTGAAGTGTTACAGCTATAAAAAGGACAAATATTTATTTCTGATGGGTCTTTAAAAAATCACGATGTATGGCAATAGGGGATGCATTCTTAGGTGATGGTTGGCAGGTACAGGCCGAGTCACATTGGGTGGAGTTAGCAGAGCCAGGGCCTCCATTTCGGCCATCATTAATCATGCAGCGTAATCCCGTGTCTGTAGGGATTGGCGACCTGCTATGTCACGAGTCAGATGGACACGAAGTTCGAAGAGGTGGTGAATTTGGAAAAGAGTCCACACAGTCACCTTTCCCACCTGCCCTGAACCTTCACCCTCATCTCTCACCCTCCTGAAGCCCTCTGAGACGTCACCTCTTCCAAGTATAAACAAGGAAGCCCCTCCACCCTCTCTCTCTCCCTCTCTCCCTCTCTTCCTCTCTTCCCCCCCCCCATGTGGGTGCGCATACATGCACATGCCTTTGATTAGATATAATGGAGCTCATAGGTGAATGCCTGCCTGGAGGCCATGATCTCTGCTTTAATTCCTTTCAGCACACCTTTCACCGTTTTCTCTCACTAATTCCTCACAGCACATCGAACCTGCAAAGCCACCACTGCAGCCCCCCCACCCCCACCCCACCCCCGTGCGCGCGCGCACGCTGCCCCGTCGCCCAGGACTGCGGTTTCCATCTCTCTTCCCCATGCCTTGCAGCCACAACAGCTTTTGTTGCTGCTTTTTCAGCACAGTTTTATTTTTAATTCTTCCTCAAACAAAAACTGTTGCTCCGAAGAAAGGTTTTTTGAGGGTAGCTTGAGTTATATTCCCAACAGGGTTCTTTGGACTCCTTCATATCGCGTTTTTCTTTCTTTGCCTGGCCTTTAAAAATAGACAGCTGCATCCTTTCTTCCATATACTCATGACGATAGCTAACTTAGAGGGGCGGTAAAGTCTATGGAGTGGTCTTTAATCTGTGGCCACTCTTGTTCATCTGGGGGTCTTCCCTACCATCCTGGCATGGGACGTCCATCTTGCTGCTGATAACCTGCTCCATAAAAAGTGCAGCCCCTACCATGGGTGCTCCTGAGCCTATGGGAGAGACAGGGCCAAGGTGTGATCCGGTAACACAAATTTTATGTTTGGAGAGAGAGAAAAAAAAATGGTCTGGCTTCTGAAAAGTAGTTTAGTCCAGAATCTTGTGTCAAAGGCAGGCTGTCATCGAGTGGGAACTCTGCCAGGAGACTTAATAACTAATATTTAGTATTTTATTAAATTAAAAAAAATGCATGCTACAGCATTTTGGAACTGGTTGGTATCAAAAATTGTGTTGAAAACCTTATCCTGATCGGAAAAGGTCAGCCATGAGCTTAATCCCATGCCATTAACGTCTTCCTGCCTTGTCCTCGAAGGGAAAGGGCCAAAGTAGATGCTCCTGAGGGGGCAGTGTGCCAAAGCTGTGTGTGAATGAAGAGGTGGATGGCGGAGCTGTGCTTGTCCACGGGGAATATCGGTTTTCATCCAGTTTCTTTCTGAGCCCAGTTGCCTGGATCAAGAAGTTGCTGAAAGCCCCAATTTTCCCCCAGGGCAAGGACTGAGATATGGGTAAGACTGAAGGGTTATGCAGAGTCCAGCTATGACTTCCAAGGTCTGAGCCCCGCACCCCCTTTAATCTCTTCAACTTCATGGTTGCAGCTCCACTTCTCTACCTTTTGGGTCCCTCTCTTGCTTCCCGGATTAGTCAATTTTGCTATGTGGTATTGACCAAAAGAAATACCATAGACGGAGTGGATTGAACAGCTGAAAACTAGCAGATTCTCATACTTTTGATAACTTCAAGTCCAAAGCCAAGGCAATGATAGTCAGGCTTGGTGTCTGGTGAGGCCTCTATCTCACTGTATTCTCCTTTTCTTTCTGCTGTGTGTGCACAGAGAGCCAGCTCTCTGGTACTTCTTCATCTTATAGTCCCCAGTCATATTGGATTAGGATCACACCCTTCTGCTCTCATTCACTTTAATTACTTTTGTAAACTCACTATCTCCAAATTCAGTCAGGCCAGGTTGTGGCTAAGGATTGAAACATAGGAATTTTAGAACACAGTTCCGCCCATCCTATTTATCTTAGAGGGCTGATATGAAATGGACAGAGTAAAATCAGATAACATATGCCAAGTACCTCATCAAACTCCTGAACCACTAGGGAATCCTGTCCCAAACCACAACAAACAATGTAAAGAACGTTGCTGGAAGAAAGAGTGCAGGGAGCGTAAAGTATTTAAGACAAGAAAAAGGATGAAGAACATCTGGTTGTTTCAGAGTTTACTCTGTAAGCCATCTAATTATGACTATAGAAGGAGTATACATTTCTTTACTATTGCAAGTATTCCCTTTCATTTTCACTGGTAGAAATTTGAGTATTATATTTAGAGTTTTTTTTTTTCTGGTCTAGAAAAACTGAATCTACCTACCCCCATCTCTCTGTAGTAGGCATCACTTACGTTGACTGCTAGAATACAATGACCTGGGATGTGGCCCCAGCAGTGAGGGCCTGTCTAGCATGTGTGAGGCCTTTTCAGTTCCACAAAATCCAACCAACCAAACCAATCAACAACAACAGTAACATAATCAAGCTGGGTTCAGAGTGTGTCTCAGTGATACAACACTTACCTAGCATGAACTTGGCTATCACTTAGAATCCAAGCCCTACAACCCAAAGAAATACTTGACTAGACTGAGGGTGTAACTCAGTGGTTGAGTATCTTTATGAACACAAACAATAAGTTCATGGCTGATGGATTGTTGCCACTCCACTGAAACCTGTAGGAAGATTACCAGCACATCTTAGGTCTAGTACTTGCTTTATAGGGAACTCATTCTATCTTTTCTCAGGAGACAAAATGGAGAGCCAGTGGACTGAAGGCTGATAGTTGAAAAGGACTACAGATGGTACTTAATTATGATTTTTATTTGGTGGTGCTGAGAAATCAAGTTCAGGGCCTTGCCTATGCTAGACAAGTGCTGTGACACTGAGGTACACTTTTTTGCAGAATATTTGTTTACTTATGCAAAGATGTGTTGCATTTGTTGAATTATGTAAAGGTGTGCTGATGTTTTACCTTGTCTGCCTACAGCACCTGATGGCTCTAATAAAAAACTGAATGGCCAATTGTGAGGGAGGGGATATAGGCAGGACTTCTGGGCAGGGAGAGTAAGTAAGAGGAGTTATTTAGGCTTGGGAGAAGAAAGAAAAAGAGACACCAGGGTCTAGCCAGCCAGACATGGAAGAAGCAGGAAAGTAGGACATACAGAATGAAAGGAAGCTAAAAAGCCCTGAGGCAAAAGTAGATGAATAGAAACAGGTTAAATTAAGTTGGAAGAGCTAGTGAGACAAGCCTAAGCTAAGCTAAGCTAAGCTAAGCTAAGTAAGTAATAAGTAATAAGAAGTCTCTGTGTCATTGTTTGGGAACTGGCTGGTGGGACAGGGAAAGAGCTCAGCTACATTTGATGTCTGATGTGAGGCTTAAATTTCCACATAGGACCTGAGAAAAATGAAAAACAAAACAAAACAAAAAACAATGAATGTGGCTTCTTTAGGAGGCGCTGCTGAGCACCAGAGCATTGGAGCCCCCAGCACACTAAGTAGAAACAGCAAGGTAAGTAAAAAACTCCTGCCACAGTGTGGGCACCAACTTCCTAGAACTGGGACAGTTAAATGTAGCTCTTGGTTGAACGCAGTTCCTGGTTAACCACAGCTCTTGGCCAGGCCTGCAGGCTTAAGGCTCCGCTCTCAGGGACCCAAGGAGGGGGCAGAACAAGCTGCCAGAGCTACATGGTGGAGGGCCTAAATGCTACTTAGCAGTTTCAGGTTTGGCTCATGTGATCAGAGAATGCTATAGGTGTACAGTAAAACAGGTTCAAGCCCCCCTCGCCCCCCCCCCAAAAAAAAACCAAAACCTTTAAGCAGTGTGTGGAGGTGCTTAAGGAAGAAAAGAAAATGAGTATAGATAGTCATAGGAAAAAATAAATAGTTTAAAAATAATTGAGTAAAGTCTTTGAAGAAAGTAAAGTAATAGAAAAAGAATAAGCCATGTGAAGATGGGAAGTACACAGGGAGTCTGGATCGTCTATGCTTTTGTGTTGACTATGAATTTTTTGAATGCTAATGAGAGAATGGTAGCTGCTGAGAGACATGGGATTGTAAAAGGAACTGATGAATTAAAAGGAACTGATACTTTAGGGATGTCTTAACTTTAAAATTGAAGTCAGAAAATGTATTGCATTGGGGGAGAGGAATCCTGTGGAAACAAAAGGCCGTGAATGCCTTCAAAGTTAATAGAGATCAGATTTGATCAGAAGAGACCTACAGAAAATCTTGGCTACAGACATAAAGAAATAAACCAAGAAAAAAACTACAAGACAGGTGACATATACATGGATCCCTTGGCATGGGGACAGTTCTGCGACTGAACAACAAATGTTACAACTAGTTTTTCCAGGACTTGACCATATCTCAATTTTCTCAGAGTCCCCTAAAGATGCTGTAACCCCAGATAATAGGGAGCAGTCTAGAGAACACAACAGCCACATTCCCAAGATGTGGGGGTGGGTGGTTTTTGGTCATTTGGTGGGTTGTGGATATCTGTCATCATTTAGGGGGAGATATAGAAATATAGGATAAAAAGACAACTATTAATCTCAAATATTTTACAGTGGTATGGACTTTAGTATAGTGATCCAAATTTAAAGATATTTTTGATATATTGTATATATGTTTCTACTCTTTTTTATGATATTGTACCTATGTAATTCATTTAAAAATGTAATATATAATTAAGAAATACAGATCAGTAGTTAGACATCTATAATAATCATAGATGTAGTCATATTAGGTGAATTTTAAAGGTTAAGCAGATATATTTTAGAAAGATAGATAATTTTCAAATACTTCAGAGACCTGTAGAATATGGCAATTAAGATGTTTTAATAACATAAGGTTTTTCATGACAGTGAAACATGTCTGTTCCTGGCATCACCAATCTACTTCAGAGATGATGGTCATTGAAGAACCTCCATATGGAGTTTGCTTTCTATGTAGCAAAGCTAGCTATTTGGGCAAGAAACTGTTCTTGCCTTGACTGCTGACAGTATTTTGCACAAACTGCCCAGGGAAAAAGACTACCTAACTTTACCAAGACAAGGTAGGACAATCCTTCAAAATTCCTGGTTCAGAGAAAAGTCCGTCAGATATTCTAGGCCTGTAGGCTGAAGATGAATGCTCCAACATTGCAGAGGAACCTTAGGTGACTGTCCAAGCCGTAGGATGTTTCTGTCATTTCTATAGTTTTGGATGTTGCTTGTACTGCACTTCCTGTTTACTCAGGTAATATTGTATCCTCAGACTCTGATAGAGTTGAAGATGAGAAAGTTATAGTTACAGTTTTCCTTGTTACCAGATTTAGAAAAAATTTACATAAGAGAGGCAAAGTTTATAAGGTTGAGAAGCATAAAAGCTTGGATTGTTTATCTAAAAACATGTTTTGAGGTCTAAAAGATAATTTTGGGTTGGTAATACAAGTTAGAATAAAAAGTAAATTAGGTACAAAACTGTGGACTCACCAAGATAGGATAATGGAGTATTTCTCTTAATTTGCCAAATACAAATGGACTGGATATTGTAAATGTAATTCTTACTTGATAATTGTTCTTATTGTATATAGTCTTACTATGTTAAAGCCAAAACCGTTCTTTTTATTTAGACAAAAGGGGGGAATGTTGTGGAATATTTAACTATGCAAAGATGTGTTGCATTTGTTTATGTTATGGAATATTTGTTTAACTATATAAAGATGTGTTGCTGTTTTACATTGCCTGTCTGAGCTACCTGGTTGACCTACTAAAAAGCTCAACAGTCAATATTGAGGGAGGAGGTATAGGTGGGACTTCTGGGCAAGGAGAGTAAGTAAGAGGGGAAATTAGGCTTGAGGAAGAAAAAAAAATGAGATATCAGGGAGACACCAGGGGCCAGACAGCCAGAATGGGGGAAGCAGGAAAGTTGGACATATAGAATGAAAGAAAGCTGAAACGTCCCAAGGAAAATATTAAGTTAAGAGAGCTAGTGGGACAAGCCTAAGCTAAGGCTGAGTTTTCACAATAAATAAGAACTCTCTGTGTCATTGTTTGGGAGCTGGTTGGTGGGACAGAGAAAGAGCCCGGCTACAGCACTCCTGAGTTTCTAGTAAAGTACTTGATATTTTCAAAGTACTGTAAAGGCAGTTGAACAGTAGAAATATATTCATGAAAAGAGGGTATGAGGGCAAAACAGCTGGATTGCTTGAAACAGTTTTGATCTGTGTGTGATGCTAATCTTCATTACCACCTGGACTTGACTGATAACCATCTAGGAGACTCTAGGTGTGTTGGTGATGGTATTTCCAGAGATTGATCGAAGGGGGAAGATCCACTAGGGCTGTGGGAGGAACCATACCATGGGCTGGGCACCCAGACAGAATACAAAGGAGAATGCCATCTGAATGGCAGCATCCTTTTCTCTGTTGTCAACCATGCTGTGAACAGCTCTGCCCAGCTATGCTTTTCACACCACGATGGATGGACAGATACCTTTGAAACCATGAGCCTCAATAAATCCCTCCTCCTTTAAATCATTTCTTTCATATATTTGGCCACAATAATTCAAGGAGTAACTAACACATTATGTATGTTTAATCAGACACAATCTAATCTTTTACTTTACCCAAACAAACTTCTCCTCAGTGCATTGGCACTCCTCAAAGACAGTTCTCTTTTTCCTCTTTATTTGGCTACTGAACTTTCAGACACCCTTTGAATATGATTTTAGGTTTCTGCAGCCATTACAAGACTTTAAAAAAAAATCTCTTAAATATCGTAGTTGCCAGAAGGAGAAATGATGAAGAAGAAATGTGAAGGGTATGATAAATGATGAGAACTACCATTATGTATGTCTAGGATAATACAAATGGAGAGAGAGGAGATTTAGTCAAACTTTGAGTCTAAAAGGAATTGCATGATTATACAGCATCCTGCAGGTAGCCCAGCAGGAGGAATGGTGGCAGTTGTTTACATTTGAAGGCACTGTCACAGAGATGACCCAGAAAACCCAGCCTTCAGAGGACATTTGTTTTCTCCAAGCCATGACACAGGGACCCCCACACACACACACACACATACTTAAAAAAAAAAAAAAAAAAAAAAAGCACCTACATTGATACATTGCTTACATTTAAATAGAATGGCTTTCCTGAATTTGTGTTTATAATGATGTTTTTTCACCTGCTTCTCATGGGAAAAGGGACCAGTGCTCTGTGTACTAAAGTTTCAGGAGCCGGAGATGGCTTTGGGAAACAGGCCCCAAATTTTCTAGATTCACCATCAATGGCAAAGCTAGAGGACTAGCTGGATACAAGTGAGAAGAGGTTGGTGGATCAAGTTGGGGAGGCAGAGCATGAGCTGTTCCATCAGGAGGGGCAGTCAGTGAACTCTCCCTCAGAAAAGCGGGAAGCAGACTCAGGATGTGGTGAACAGAGAAAGCACAATGGGACTCTCAAATTATGGAAGGAGAAGATGGCTTCCGAGAGCTTCATCTTTGTCACGGGATACGCTCTTTCGGACTGCCATTTCTCCATTGTAATCAAAAGGAACAAGCCTCATCCCTCAGAAAGCAACTGAAAATCAACTTCATTTCATGAACCTGGCTTCAATTTCATCTGTACACTTCTGATTTATGTATGATCGATTTTGTGTTTTCCTGGTTCACTTTTTTCACTCTTCCATTCTCTCTCTCTCTGTCTCTGTCTCTGTCTCTGTCTCTGTTTCTGTCTCTCTCTCTCTCTCCCTCCCCCCCTCTTTCTGTGTGCTGTTATTAGAGACTGTGTAACTATGCAAGAACAAACAAATGCTTAATCTACCCTTAAAGGAGGTAGACAGTCAAGGGGGATGAACACGATCACAGCAATGATGTACTGTGTCTATGCATTGCTGCTTCACTCTGAAATTCAATCACATGGAATTCCTTGGAAGACCAAGTCCACATCTCCTGGCCATGTCATGCTTCAGTGTCTCCACCAAGCCTGTGGTGCCTGCCCGGACACACTCTCGGCTTTCTTCTTCCCTTACAAACTCATCTAACACTCATCTCAACTACGACCCTGGGAAGCTTTTCCTGCCCTCCTGGTCGTGTGCCAATGATCACAAATATCATGCCCTGTCATTAAAGTTGTGTTACATGGTCTATTTAACTGGCCATCTTGACCTTGACGAAGAAGGGTGAAAATCTTGTGTAATGGCAATCTTATTCCTTTATCTCTTATGTGTGCAAGTATATGTGTATGTACACATAACCACCCATTTATATGTATTTATGGTGAGTGTTCCTGGTTTTTGTAAGGAGAAGAAACAATTAACACTTGTCTAGTTTATAACATATCTGGAAGATTCTGAATTTAGAGGGTTTGCTCACTAGATTAGGCCTAACACGGGGCAGGCAAACGCAGGGTATATGTTGAAGCTGAAGGACCCACAAAGAAGGTGTTAGTGATGTATAGCAGACAGGAATTGGTTGAAATTGCTGCAAATATGGCTCTAATCAGGCCTTCCCTGTCAGTCTCTTCTAGTTTCAGTGAGCAAGATAAGGCCAGAGGAGGAGGATATTGAAAATGATGGTTTTATTTCATGGGACACAAAGCAATGTGGCAGAATATTAAAATACCTTAGAGTGAAACGTTCGATCATTTCATGTTGGAAACCTAATAGGAGTGTTTGGCACCCTGTGGCAGAAATTACAGTTTTTCTATCTCATTTATTATGCTCTTTTTTTTTTTCAAAGTTCCCTCTACAAATTTCTTAAATTCAGTTTTATTTTTCCTGCTGCTTTTGTCTGGATCTGCTGTTGACACAAGCTAGTTTTCATCATTCGAAACCTCACTCACAAATCTCTTTCTTCAGTGACCCGCAAACTGACAAGCCTTTCTAAACATACTTTAACTTTTATCATTTTGTGATGGTTTTCCCCATCATACTCTCTTAATTTTTTAAAATCCCCTTTCCATGTGGAAGTTTGTATAACGTCTAGTGCCTATTAATTTGTATCAATTTACAGCATGCATTTCAGTATAATGTGAAATGTTTATTTTTAATGTTCATACTCATAGATAATGCATAGTATCAAGTTTTAATATAAATAATTAACATATTTATTCATCGTTCACTACCCAAATCCTTCATGTTTACAGCCTATAACTTGAATATTTGGTAGGATTCATTAAAATCCATCACCCAAAAATATTATTTGTGACATCTTTGCACGTATGTGAGCAAGACATATTACTAAGATATTTTAGAAAAACTTGCAATAAAACGAAAGGAAGTTTCTTACTATTACTTAAAAGTCAATTAAATATTCTTTGGAAAATATAATGTTGAAAGCTGTTTCTATCAAGCAGAGAAAAAAAAAATCACACTAACCCCCTCCCCCAATATTTCAGCTTCAGTAGTGAATATTAGCTCTTAAGATGAAAATTTTCTTAATTATTATCTAGGGAACCAAAACCTCTTTATTGTTTAGTAAAAGCAATTGGGTTTTAAAAAAATGTGATTCATAATGAAATTTTGCATGGAGTTTTTTTTTAAGTTTATTTATTTATTTACTTTTGGTTTTGGTTTGGTTTTTCAAGCAGGGTCTTGTTATATATCCTAGGCTGTGCTCAACTTGTGACCCCCAGGCCTTAGACTCCTGGGTGCTGGGATTATAGATATGCACCACAACTCCTATCTTAATTTGAAGTAATTGAACTTTTGTTGATATTATTCATAAAAATGGGGAACATCTTTCAGTCTTCCCTGTCACACCCCTTATTTTTGTAGTTCTTTACAAAAGCGTGAGCCCAAACATGCCTGTTGAATTAGTTACTTTTCTGTTGTTGGGATAAAATGTACCACAAACAAAATCAATCTCATGAAGAAAGCATTTCTTCGGGCTTGCAGTTTCAGAGGGA